AGTCACAAACTGATCAGATATCAGTCACAAACTGATCAGATATCAATAAGAGTGGTTTCAGGTTTGGAGGTGAGTCTTTCTCAGCTCAATTCACCTGACGCTGTCGAGTCACATGACAAAAACAGGGCGTGAAAGGAAATAAAAAAGGAAAACTATTTTTATTTGTTCTGTGAGGTTTCCGCTTCCTGGCTGTGAGCTTTGAGGTTCTATGCTGAGCCGCAGTTACACATTATTAGTAATAAAATGTCTCATCTACTCTCGCGGATGTTTAAACCGGTTTCAAAGGTTAGATCCTGCTTGATCGACAACAGCAGCAACAGAGCTCACACAGCTGCTGAACCTCTACACTCAGTCAGAACTTCATCTCTCCTCTCAGGTTAAATAAAATAAACCTGAAACAGTCTCTGAGCAGCCGGTTAGCAGTCGTTAGCTGCGAGTAGCTGTAGCCTATCCCGCCGTCAGAGCGTTTCACGTTAAACGTGACCTTTCACCTTCAGCTTGTTCAGAGCTCCGCTGTTCTCAAGATTCTGGATCAGCAGGTCCCGCAGTTCCGTGTCGTCCTCGGCTGCTGACATTTTTCTGTCTGAAGCTTAAGGTGCTAACGTAGCTAATTGCTGCTGCCAGGACAACACGCCAAAACAACGTGACGCAACTTCCGCCCTTTCTTCTTCTGTTGCTCTTTAGTTCAGCCTGAATGCCATCTGCTGGCTTGCAGTCGGAAATACAGCTGGATAATTTACCTGTTTAACAAACGGCGTTCACGGTCCGTGAGAGGGATTCAGCCTCACGTTTTTCATTTTATTTCCACTTTTATTATTTTTTACATTTAAGCCTTCAGTGGCAGGCTGCCAAGGGGGGCAAAAAATAAAACAGAAGACTCATAAGATCCCCAGTGAGTAAAAATACTGCACTGTACTGCACAGAATACTGCATACAAAAGGGTTACCAAAAGTGACCAAAAAGCACCAATGAACGCCACACTAAATCATTCCTACCTGTGGCCATCTCTCCTCCTTCTAATACAATGTAAACACTACAATAGTTACATCCTTTTGGCACACACTCTTTCTTACTCTGTAATGTTTCTGTCAATTTGTTAATATTTATTTATAATCACATATGTCAACCCAGAATATTTATTACTTGGTGACTTGTATTGTATATATTATGCTATTTCTCATATCTTAACATACTGTATTGATAAATAGTCTAGTTTGTTTTTGTTAATGCTACTGTACTGACACAACTGTAACCCATATAATTTCCCTAGGAATTAATAAAGTATTCTGATTCTGATCAAATCAGGAATGGCTCTCATATACAGTAAAACACATTCAGTCCCTCAGTTTTGAGTGCGACCGACAAACTTTTTTTTAATGAATGAATTAATTTATTTATTAGTTATTGATTTCCTGTTTTGCCAGTTTTATCCTTGAAGACTTAAACGATTAAAAAAAGACTTTGCCTTCAGATGCGGTGAGCTGTGTGTGTGTGTTCTTTAGCCAGATGCCAACAGATGTTTCTGAGACTGATCTGAAGAGAAAGCAGTAGGAGGAGGAGGCAGACGGAGGGGGAGAGGAGGAGGAGCAGAAAGCAGAGAAGCACGCGCAGACGCACGGGCACGGACCTCCGGTGGATCACGGAGCCTCCGCCGCCTCTGCGCAGCTGCAGCCGGTATCAGAAGCAGTACGGTCGGCCTAACATCGGAACTATGGCTGACGACGGAGCTCCATCCACGGCCTGCACAGGCTCCAGCCTTCTGCAGCCGCTCAGCGAGCTCACCGACCTGCCGCTGGACCAGGTAAGAGCCGCCGGAGCCCGGACCTCGGCGGCTGCCGCTCCGGAGGTCCGAGACGGGGGTACAAAGAGAGGCGAGGACGGGGAAGGGAGGAGGGCTTTGTCCGTAAAAGTAAAGGGCGGAGGCCTCGTGCAGACTCCTGCAGCTGTGATGGAGGACAGGCTTCATGCTGCTCATTCACGTAAGGAGGAGGAGGAAGGGGATGTACGAGTGCAGCTGTGCGGACTATTGTGATGATGATGAAGGGGGAAGGCATGTCGGTGGTGGTGGGGGGAGGGGAGGGGGGGTGATCTGTCACCCGTGATGCTCCTGAGGCTCCACCTTTCCTCTTAGGTTTCGTCTGCGCTGGGGTCAGGTTTGGAGCTTCTCTGACGCAGGTGTGGCTCAGGTGATAACCAGGCACAGCCATGACCTCCACGTCAGCTCCTGATTGGTCATTCCTCAGTCCAGAGCTCAGAGGGGGTGGAGCAGCTGCTCACTCAGCAGATGGTAGATCAGAGTGTGGTTGTGTGGACCTTCACCAGGTGATCCTGGTGAGCTGCTGCACACACCTACCCTCTGACTGGCTGACAGCCAGGCCTCTGGAGCCGGTTCAGGTGACCAGGTGCCTCAGTTTACTAGTTTTACAGGGAAGTACTGATGATACCAGTATCTCCTGTGGGCTGATGTCATTGTGTGTGAGTCTTCAGAGAAAAATCCTGTTTCTACACCACACAGCAAGTTTCACGCCTCTGAGTGGAGGCTCTGGTGTCACTTCCCTCCGAGGCAGGAAGTGGGGACTGCCAGAGGCGCACCGAGAAGGAGGCCGGGGGGGTGCGACCCTCACCATGGTCGCTCCATCTCAAACAGCACATTTCATCTTCTGCTCGACCGTCTCTGATTTTCATAAATATTTATGGTCCATAGTGTGAACACACGGCCGCTGTAACCTTTAAACAGTTTGTAGATACTCTAACAGTACAACAGAGAGTACTACAGAGAACTGTTTGAAAACTGCTGCATCAGCAAACTTTCAGGCCTTTTTCACACATTCAAACATGAAAATCTCAAACCTGTAAAAGATCAAAGCCAGAGATCTCGCTGCTCCTTATTCCCATCGTCCTGACTCAGATGTGTACTTTGGGACAGGCACAGTAAAACTTGCCTGAGTATCATTTAGGTAGCTTCGAGGCGTCTTGTAACGTCTTATATTTCAGGACACTCTGATAAAAACTTCAGACTGTAAGAAAATACCTCGTGATGGTGACTCAGTGATGAGTACTTCGACTTCACAGTGTTGTAAAAAAACTCTGATTGTTCTAATTCTGAGTTTTCAAGTACAAAGAGACACAAAGTACTGCAGGTGGTGATATCATTGCTCTGTTTACAAACACACACAATACTACAAAAACTGACAGCACTATTGATACTCTGACATTACTACAGATATTAGTCAGATAGTACTCTGATGTTATTTTCTTAGTATTCTGGTATTAGTCGGTAGTAGACGGTGACTGGACAATAACATGGCTGTTACTGTGCTAATGATGATGAAGATCCTCCTCCTCCTCGCCTTCTTGCAGGAGGAGCTGCTTGGAGAAAAAGGCAGCCATTTTGTGCTTGTGTTGGTTCTGAAAGAGTCATGTGACACCTCTCTCACACCCAGGAGGGGGCGGTGGCGCTCAGGTTTGGTCCCCTCAGCAGGAGGCAGGCAGGATTAGCCAATGAGCATGCAGCACCCCTCTGTGAAGGTGTTAGAGAAGGTGAGGGGTCAGCCTGAGGGAGGCGGAGCAGTCTAACGGTGGGCGGGTCTGCCCTCTCTCACCTGGATGTACTGAAGCACCAATGACGTGCTGTCTGTTTGCTTCACCTGCAGGTGAACTTCGTAGCGTGCCAGCTCTGCGCTCTGATCTCCGCCTTCTGGTTTCGTCTCTTCCTCCATCCCAGTAAGACCAGTCCCATCATCCGGCACGTGGTGGCCACACTGCTGGGACTCTATTTTGCCATGTTCTGCTTCGGCTGGTAAGACCAACTATGACTCAGGATCAATAAAACTGAGCTCTCCAAAGTCTGACTTATCCTAAAATTGAACCAATCAGAGCTCTGATAGAGGTCACACCTGCGTCGCTCATCTCACCTGTAAAGGAAAAATTACACAATAATGACTTGTCAGGAGCAGAAAACATCAGATGTGACTGGACTAAATAAGAACCCGCTGTTAGAGCAGCTTTGCATGACTCACAGTCATAATAATCCTTCTTTCATTTTCTCGCCATCTGAAACAACTTTTAGCTCCCCCCCCCTTTAAGAAAGCTTTCTTCTGATTCGCTCTGTGTGTCAGATGACCCTAAAACAAACTCTCTATGACATCATCCAGATCCCAGAGGGAAAAATGCTGTGACTGACTGAGTGTTGAGGGCAGCCTGAGCGTTGGCTCACAGAGATTACTGTTTGTACACCAAGCTCATTATGTTTAATGTGAGCATCCGTCACAGGAGCAGCAGACACATCACATGTTCTGGTCAGCTGGTGTCTGAAGATGACGCTCTGTGTTCTCCTTGTTTTACAGGTATGCTCTCCACTTCCTGGTTCAGAGCGGACTCACCTACGGCATCATGATCCTCACCGGAGTCGAACACATGCACAAGTGAGCGTCACACGCGACATGCATTAAAACGCTGCTAACAAGCCATTAATGAGCTCAGGATTAATGAGGAAACTTTTTATCACCTTTGATGTCAGGAGAGCAGCTCACAGTCGGACCTCTGTTATTTCCAGCTCTGTGAACATTAGGTCATGAATACTGGCACAAAAGGACTTCCACAGATTCTGATGTTGTAAAAGTAACAATGTGCTCCTTTCAGCCAAACAAACATGACTGCACCAGGTGTTCTGTCCTCAAAAGGATGCAAACTTCAGACTGGTGAAGGTCTTAAACCCGTGGAGCTTCACATGAGCTACAGCCAGAAACCTGAGTGAGCCAGATCATCACAGAGGTCCTCAGACCTCAGTGAGGCCGTCAGGACCGCCGACCCCAAGTTGAATGACAGCCTGTTCTCTGTGTTTTTCCAGGTACTGCCTAGTGGTGGCGCTCACATACCTGAGCCTGTGTCAGATCACACGAGTGTACGTCTTTGACTACGGCATGTACACCGCCGATTTCACAGGGTAACGCCTCCGCTCTGTGGCCAATTCACTCCTAAACGCCTCCCCGTGTCCAGGCTCTAATCTCTGCCTCTGCCCTCTCTGCAGCCCCATGATGGTCATCACTCAGAAGATCACCAGTCTGGCATTTGAGATCCATGACGGTGAGCTGCACTCTCAGACGGGCTGTTTTCTGTAAATCCTGCAGGTTTTACTGTCCACTCTGTGTTTCTGACAGGAATGGCTCGGAAGGAGGAACATCTGACGGCAGGACAGAAGATTCTGGCAATAAGGTTTGTTCATGGTAGAAACATTATTTACTGGAGCAGAAATCACCATGTTTAGGCAGGAGGGTGGAGCTTAAGACAAAATCCATGCCTCCATGGTAGAGACTTGTCAATCAAAGGTATCTCCGCCCTAATGTTTCTCCCTAAAAGTGATGCAACTTCCAGCTGTACTTCTGTTCATGCAAAACAGGTTTAGTATGAAAAAATAGCTTCATTAGTTGACTAGTCACGATTACGTCGACTATCAAAATCGTTGCAGAGTAATTTAATAGTCAACGCATCATTTGAAGCTTTTTAAGATCCTGCAAGACACAGGAATAAGTAGTAGGATTTAAGAGTGTAATAACAGACTGAAACAGAAGATGGCAGCAATGCATCTACAAGGATGCCAGCTGCCGTTAAACGCCAAAGAAGAAGAAGAAGAAGGAGCAGTCTCCGGTATCATAG